ATAAAGTGGACATCCTGACAGGTTAAAAACTGTAAGATCCAGAAAGAGAAAAGAGCTCTCATTAATATGAAAGACAACGTGCTTCACCTTCAATAAAAAGTGGAGACTTCACATCTGAACCTCTGCTCCATCTACACTAACTCATGATGTGCAGCCAGACTAATACAAACCCACTGAAACTGATTCAACTCAAGATCACACACTTTACAAATATGACAAATATGTCGGGATGAATTTAGAAGAAATGTGATCAAAAATAAATAGAGAATATTTATTTCAGGAATAGTGGAGCCATACATCCAAAGCATCTTCAGTTTAAACTCCTCAGTCAGTATGAGCATCATGTAGCTTCATACAAATGTGAGAAACAGCTAAACTGACATTATTTGTAAATGTTTAATAGTTTTGATAGAAATATGTATTAACTGTAATAAACTGTTTATTATATCATTTATAAAAGAAACCTGATAGAGAATATAAAATGAACTCCAGGTGTTTCAATGTTCAGAGTGAATTATGAAGTGTAGGATTTTCTTGTTGTATTTTAATGTAAAGCTCAACATTAGTCTGCCACAGTCAACACATGTTCTGTAGAATCCCATATGTCTGGTAACAAGCTGCACTGACTAACATGTGGCTTTGCATTGTCAGCTTGCATTATATTGTTCTTGGGAGAATGAAAGAAAAGAAACACAAGATGAACAAAAGGAGAAACTGCAGACAAATGGTAACATCCATGATTTGTTGTGCTAAGCTAGGCTACGCCTGGAAGGTGGACCTGGAGAGATTCCCCAGTGAGAGGAACACCTCCACCTCCCTGTGTTTAATACAATACTGCTGAACCAGCAGAGAGTCGACCCCTTACTGACCTGAGACCCTCCAGTCTGCAGTCTGGACTCTCCAGAAGATCTCTCAGCAGCTCCACTCCTGAATCCTGCAGCTTGTTGTGACTCAGGTCCAGATATCTCAGATGTGAAGGGTTGGACTTCAGAGCTGAGATCAGAGCAGAACAGCTGATCTCTGACAACCTGCAGCGCCTCAGACTGAATAAAGAAAACATGATGTAACTTTAGAAAGCAAAGTTCCTAGAAAGGGCGCGAAAGTCATTTCATTCATTAAAATAATAGTGTCTTCATGTCTTAAAGCTGCTGAGTCATATACTGCACCTCAAACAACAAATACATCCAGAGTTACAGTTTCTTTACTTCCTCTACAGAAAAAAGGACAGTGAAAGAAACTCAGAAATCTCAGTTTCAGATGAAGCCTGCTGCAGACCCACCGGACATCCAAGGAGATAATAAGGTTCTCTAAGGTTTAATAATCGGTGATAATCGGTGATAAGAAGATGCAATTACAGTATGTATACAGATTTCATTGATCATGAGAAATGTGAATAAAAATAGCTCACAGTTTAGATTGTTTAGATTTCAAAATAAGGATTGCATTATCTGTAAATAAATCCCATAAAACAATACATCATTACAAATAACATGAAAGGAACAATGTGAACTTGGTTCAGGCGGCATCCAACTATTCAGGTCACTCACAATAACTTGTCGTGTAAAGGTCATCGCTTTCAGCAAGCCACAGTTGGTATAGTTAAAATAATCCTTGTAGCAATTCACTCTCAACACTGCACTCTGCTTCCAGTCAATCAGCCTTCAACTGAGTCCAGCAAAAGCTTCACATGGATAGTTTGCCGCCCACTCACTGGCTTCTGTACATTTGCACTCTTCTCTTTGTTACAGTAATCATACGGGAACAAAATATATTTCTAAAACATGCTTTGAGGAAAAAGATCAGTTGTTTCCTTGCTTGGAGCATAAGTTAAATGCATTTGAATCAAAGATGGATTCCCCAATAACTACTCGAAGCAGCCAACCGATGTTCTGTAACAGACAGAAGTAACTGTGATTGAGTGGAGCTGGCTATTTTTGAGGTATGGCCTCCTGAGGGGAGAGTGCTGTCCTCTGGAGCAAGTTGCCCTCGTAATGTTTTGTCTGATGGTCTGTCTTCTCAGGGTATTGAGGGCGCTCCATGCTGCCCTAAATGCATTTTGCTGCAGGGAACATTCGGGGCTGTTTGGACGAAGATTGTGAGAAATCAATCTCCAAGTTTGCTGATGCTTCTGGGCAGAAGTGACGAGATAATGTAGACTGTCTCTATATAGTTATCAAGTGCATTATCTTTTTTTTGTGTTGCCTAAATCCACGTTTCTCTTGTTTGAACTTTATAATGACACGCCAATGTTTCGGCAGATACCTGGATAATGCCTACAATCATATATTTAATTTATGTTATATACAATCAGAATCATTTCATAATAATAAATAATATCTCTAAGGTTTAATAATCGGTTCAGAGCTCAAAATGGTTTTAATGTCAGCAATGATGTGGAAAACCCCTCTCCCACTCCGGCCTCCCTCTACCTGCTCCCTCCTCCAGCTCACCTGTGGGAAATCCTTTCCCCCATGAACAAAGAAGCTGGCTGGCCTCATGCAACTCCTGAGAACCAATCGTTTGAGTAAATAATCAGTACGTGTTCCTTTCCTTTGTATTGTATGTTCATAGCAGCTCCAGTAGTTTACCTCCCTATTTTCTGTACCGTTTAGATTTGGTTACTTTATTTCTACATTACATATAATAATGTAGAAAGATAACTGCTTTGCTGGAGTATCATTTGAAGTATGAATGTTATGTTTGAACTAACTAAGATGTGTTGTACTTTCCTACCAGATCAACCAGACAACAATTAAGACAAACAAGAATCAACAAATTACAATAAAACAATGATCTGGAACTCCTGCCTCCATGTGCTCATCTTTAAATCCACTGCGTTGACTGTTTAGTCCTTGAACCAACCACCCTCACCACCCTCCATATTCTTCAAAGGATGTAGATTCAAAACAATTGATAAGCTCAAACTCTCTGCAGCAGTTTTTCTCAGCAACATCTTTGACCTCCTTCATCTCCCTCACAGCTCATCAGTACTGACAGCATCTTCACTGACTCATGGAGCACAGTGAGAGTGAAGGCTGAAAGGATATCTCACATGAGAGCGGTTGGACTTCAGAGTCACACATTTACTTTCTCTGCTTTTTGTTGGTCTTTAAAATACTCAGCCATTTAGAAAGAAACATAAAATAATGTAAATGTCTTTGAACTCTTAGTACTAAACTCTGGAATTAGAAATAATATAAATGTTAAATAAATAGAAATCCACATGAACTACAGCCAGTGATCTGACCTGAGAGACTCCAGTTTACAGTTTGGACTCTTTAGTCCAGAACTCAGCATCTCCACTCCTGAATCCTGCAGCTTGTTGCCTCTCAGGTCCAGCTCTCTCAGGTGGGAGGGGTCGCACTTCAGAGCGGAGGCCACGACTTCACAGTCAGAGTCTGAGATTCCACAGTTAGGAAATCTGCAATGACACATATATTACAGCATGTTATTATAAAACAAGGGGAAACATTACATTTACTTCATGCATTTGTTGAAAAAACATTTGGAATATAATGTTTTGAATAACTCTGATGTTAGTAATTAATATTTTATTGAGTTTGCTGTAAGCCTTTTCAGTGTGATCTGATCCCATGTTTGTCCCGTCGGACCTACCTTCTGCTGTCAGTGAACAGAAATTAAACAAATCGACAATATAAGAGATGTACATAATGAAAAGTTAATATATTTGGATGTGCATGACACTGAATGCATCATGTGTTGGCTTCTCAAAGCGTCTAAGAATGTATAATGCACACAAACATATTGAACAAACCAATACGTTTACATTATTTTCAACAAAACACCATGAAAAATATGTTATCTGTGTATCAGCGTTAAAACACAATCTGACCTCTGTTCTTGGTGGGATTATGTAGGTCTTGTTTAAAAAGAGTCAACATAAATCAGATATTACTCTGTCTGATTTAACTATTAAGAAACTGCAGTAATGTAATAATAACTTTACTGCATTCACTGATATCTGTGAAATACTGCTGTATGTTGTGATCACATGTTGCTGTGATAAATCATAAGTCCTTCAGAAAAATGAAGAAAAGAAAAAACTGAAACATTTTTAATTATTAGAATAATAATAATTTGAAACAGCAAAAAGTTGAATAGTGTTTATTCGAAAACTAAACTTAATATCTACATTAGTTTATAAAGTTAATCACATCTGGACTCACACAGCCTCGCTGCAGTTCATCAAATCTGGAATCACTCTCTGTCGTCCCTCCTCTGATGTTTCGTACTTCTCGTGGTCCAACTCATCCAGAACCTCCTCTGACATCTGCAGCATGTAGGCCAGAGAAGACACGTAGATCTGTGATGTGTTCTCTGACTTCAGTAAATCTGTGATCTCCTGATGGACTGAGTGGTCCTTCATCTCTGTCAGACAGTGGAAGATGTTGATGCTCCTGTCAAGAGAGATTGTATTACTGTGCATCTCCTTCAGGTTGTTGATGGCTCTCTGGATGGTTTCTGGACGGTTGTCTGTGCGACCCAGCAGGCCTCTGATGGCTCTCTGGATGAATGTTGGTCTGTTGTCTGTGCGACCCAGCAGGCCTCTGATGGCTCTCTGGATGAATGTTGGTCTGTTGTCTGTGCGACCCAGCAGGCCTCCTAACAGTCTCTGGTTGGACTCCAAAGAGAGGCCGTGGAGAAAGCGGACAAACAGGTCCAGGTGGCCATTTTCACTTCTGAGGGATTTCTTCATGGCTCCCTCCAGGAAGACATCCAGGGATGGGTAATCCTGATCACTGTTATACCTGTTGCTATAGTCTCCCTGCAGGAAGTCCTTCAGTACCTCTGTGTTTCCTGTTGGTGTAACAGTGCAGCATGTAGACTGCAGCCAGGAACTCCTGAATGCTCAGATGAACAAAGCAGTAGACTGTTTGCTTGAAGATCACTCTCTCTCTTTTGAAGATCTGTGTACAAACTCCTGAGTGCACCAAGGCCTCAGTGACATCAAGACCACAGCGCTGCAGGTCTTCTTGGTAGAACATGATGTCTCCTTTCTCCAGATGTTCAAACGCCAGCCTCCCCAGCTTCAGAAGAAGCTCCCTGTCAGCCTTCGTCAGCTTCTGTGGACTCGTCTCATGTCCCGCACCATACTTCTGCTTCTTCCTCTTGGTCAGGACCAGCAGGAAGTGTGAGTACATGTCAGTGAGGGTCTTGGGCAGCTCTCCTCTCTGGTCTGTAGTCCACATGTGGTCCAGAACTGCAGCAGTGATCCAGCAGAAGACTGGGATCAGACACATGATGTGGAGACTCCTGGAGCTCTTGATGTGAGAGATGATTCTGCTGGACAGGTCTTCATCACTCGATCTCCTCCTGAAGTACTCCTCCTTCTGGGCGTCAGTGAAGCCTCGTACTTCTGTTACCCGGTCCACACACTCAGGAGGGATCTGATTGGACGCTGCAGGTCGGGAAGTTATCCAGACGAGAGCCGAGGGAAGCAGCTTCCCCCTGATGAGGTTTGTCAGCAGCACGTTGACTGAGGACTGCTGAGAGACATCAGACACAACCTCATTGTTTCTGAAGTCCAGAGAAAGTCTGCTTTCATCCAGGCCGTCAAAGATGAGCAGCACTTTGCAGACAGCCAGCTGCTCTGCTGTGACCTTCTGTAAGGTTGGATGGAAAACATGGAGCAGCCTGAGAAGACTGTACTGCTCACCTTTGATCAGGTTCAGCTCCCTGAAGGAGAGCGGGATCACCAGACTGACATCTTGGTTTTCCAAACCCTCGGCCCAGTCCAGAGTGAACTTCTGCACTGAGAAGGTTTTTCCAACTCCAGCGACTCCGTTGGTCAGGACCGCTCTGATGAGAGTCTGTTGGTCAGGTAAGGCTTTAAAGATGTCCTGGCACTTGATTGGAGTTTCATGGAGGGGCTTTTTCTGGGAAGCTGTCTCCAGCTGCCTCACCTCATGTTGGGTATTAACCTCTTCACTCAGGCCTTGTGTGATGTAGAGCTCAGTGAAGATCCTGTTGAGGAGGGTTTCACTTGTATCAGTTCCTTCAGTCACATGTTCACATCTCCTCCTCAGACTGATCCGATGTTCATCTAAAACCTCCTGCAGACCACTATCTGCTGAAGGAGAAGGAAACGTGTGAGTAATACAAATAAAACAAATAAATAAAAGGGTTCAGAATGAATGTCTTTGCTGTAACAAATGAACCAGGAAGAATCCTGTTTTCAGACATGAAGACCCCAGCAGACAGATATTTAGACTTACTTCGTACAGTGCTGGTCTCACTGTCTCTCTGCACTCCAGCTCTTGTTCTGGATGTGTTCCTCTTCCCTCTGTTGAGATGAACACATCCTTTATAGCGCAGGTATATGTACATAATAAAAACATCTTCCTGTCTGGATTCATAACATAATTCAAAGTTGGACACAGCAAGTTCATCGTATATAGCAACTCACACGTCATCAAAATTAGGGCTGGGCGATATGGCCTAAAAATAATATTGCAATATTTTTAACCTGTATCGCGATACACAATATAAATTGCGATATTTAGAAATCCCGTTCCATACCCAACACACCAGTATGAGGATTGTTACATTAAGACATTAAGGGCTATTCATGATCATTTGCATCTCGTCTTCATCTATTGTACATCGTGGATCACGTCGGAACTTTCAAAACACCAAACACAGTAGCCACACAAATACTCGCTCAGTCTGGTCCACAAAGCCCTGCTCCTCCTCGGGAATAATGCTGAACCAGACGGGCTCGGAGGTAAAGACGGGTGAGGGTGTTTGCGGACGCAAAGGACAGCCATAGACTGTAGAGGACAGCCCGCTAGGGGAAGCAGTGAGGTCTGTTGTGTGTACCATACAGAGTCTATGGTTCATACACATACATTCAAAACACTGAATTAATATGAGGTACTGTAAAGCTCTGGCTGCTGATGTTTTCCTTTACTGATTCAACGTCAGCACGTCAGCACGTCAGCACGTCAGTGACGACAGCACGTCAGTGACGTCAGCACGACAGCACGTCAGCACGTCAGCACGTCAGCACGTCAGTGACGACAGTAGCAGAATCTCAACACTGACAGGTTTGTGCGTCAGAGCGTCACACAAATATCTCGATCAAGTTGACATTTTCAAGTTGCGGCTATACGCGGGTACAGGGCCGGCTCGTGGCATAGGCAGTATAGGCGAATCTACCCGCAAATAAGGTGGGAAGAAAAAAAGAATTTCAAAATGTTGTCTCCATCCTCGGCTCTGTGTGCGGGTGGCACAGCACATTTTGTGCGAGCGAGCGAGACAGAGAGAGGGCACTGGTTACAGGGATTGTTGTTAGCATCCATAGACTGGATATCCAGGGGTGCACATCACTTTTTTAGTGAGTGACTCAGATGAGTACCAGGAGACAGCGTTTGGTACTCACCCCACATGTAGCGTGGTTTTAATAAGTGCAGTCTTCCTCACTATCCTCCTCAGTGTCTCCTTCACTGTCCTCTAGTTCCTCTTCTTGCATGGTAGATGATGAAGATGCTGCAGATGCACCTCCCTGTCCCTGTTTAAGCCTCAGATTTGCATTCTCCAAAACTTGTTGGCAAAACTGTGAGTCCTTGCATTTCCTGAGGCCAAGTTGAAGGATCAACTACTAAGAAATGAGCACATGACTTGAAGTCATATCTGATTTCAGATGTGGGAAGTAACTAAGTACACTTATTCAAGTACTGTACTTTGGTACAATTTTGAGATACTTGTACTTTATTTGAGTATTTCTATTTTATGCTACTTTGTACTTCTACTCCACCACATTTATGTAATACCTTTAGTTACTTGACAGATCTGGATTAATGATGTGAAATATAATCAAGTCTTAAATCAGACTTTAGTTACACCTGGAGTCAATTCAGAACTCGGAAGCTGCACAGCATCGAACCGCAAGACCCTGCAGCGCATCGTGAACACAGCTGAGAGGAACATTGATGCCTCACTCCCATCCCTCCTGGACATCTACAACACCCTCCTCGCCCGCAAAGCACTCAGCATTGCTGGTGACCCCACCCATCCCTCCACCTGCCTCTTCACCCTCCTTCCTTCAGGGAGGATGCTCCGCAGCCTGAGGTCGAGCACCACCCGACTAAAACACGTTTCTTCCCACCAGGCTGTCAGGAGGCTGAACTCTCCCCCCTCTCCCCCCTGCCCCCACTGGACTATAAGTCCCACACACACAGACACTCAAATCCAGCACCAGACACTTTCTTTTTTACACTGCTATGGACAATTTTGCACTAATGTACATTTCCCAAAGATATTGAAGTGACTGTTATCTTGTATATATTGATTGTTGGGTTTTTATTTAGGTCTTAATGTGTGCATATGTATACATGTGTCTTTTGATTGTGTGTATATATATATATATATATATATATATATATATATATATATATATATAGGTTTATAAAACGGACAAGTAAAATCAAGCAATCTGATTGGTTCTTAGCCGTGGTATACTGAGCGTATACCACGGGTAGAATTGTAAGTTACTTTTCACAACAAGTCAGTATCCCTCCGCGTCTGAGATAAACAGTATACAGTTGGGCTGAACCACGCCCCTTAGCTGTGATATAATGAGCATATACCACGGCCTGTCGTGAGCTATTGCTTAAATATACATATTTGCATACATATTTTTATATATTTGTTTTTATATTCGGGATTGTGGGAAACGGTATTTCGATCTCTCTGTACACACAAACTGGGTCAAACATAAAGTTGAGTTTGAGTTCACAGGAGAAACAGACTCTCACTTTGTTTCTGAGGGTCCAGGTTGATCCCTGAAGTCCAGAGGTCTGTCTGTAGACCGGTCACTCTTCAGAGACAGACAGCTGGGGACTGGAGACTCTGCTCTCCGTCTGCAGAAACAGAAAATGTTTTACACACATCATTGGATTTTGAAAAGAGCAGCTGAACCTGATTAAAGATTTTTGGACTTGCTCTGAACTTTCTGTTTTTGAGTCATGCTTGCAGGTTTCAGTCTTTACAATTCATTTGTGAGGATCAATAGTTTGACATGTTTGTATTTTATTCACTTAACTTAACACAAAGTCCTACATTCCGAGTGTGATTTCACTAAAGTAGTTTATTTTCTGTCGCTGATGAAGCCAAGGAACCAAGGAAGAAGATCTTCTTTACTGTACTCTACTGTGTTTCTTTACTGTATGCTTCTCCCTGAGTGTTTAGATAGTTTACATCAGTCTCAGTGATCTCAAACTTATTGGACACCATTAAAACCCTTTAACTGCCGGACCAAGAAAAAAGCTATGGAAAGATTATTTGTTTGCATTTTTCTATCAAATGGGCCACAAACAATTTTAATTTTTTTTACTGACCACACAGTTTTGTTTTTATGAGCCTCTACCAACTGGTCAAGCTGGCCTTTTATGGTAAAAGTGCATTTTCAACAATCATCATATACAGTACAGTATTTGTATGCATCAAACTCAAATAAAACACAAACTCAAATACATTTGTTTCTTTTATGGAAAATGAGCAATATATACAACCAGATATATTCATAAAAGATAATAAATTATAATTGTAAAAAAAAAGAAATGGAAAAAAGTAATGTTAAAGGTTTTTCATAATAAAAGAAAGACTTGCTCATCTTACTGTATATGCTGAATTGGCCTAACCACTGGCTTAACAGCAAATGTCTACATCCTGTGTTGGCCTAACTTGCTCATCTGTGTGCAACTTTGGGCTGAATGCCATGCATGAAAGGTGCTATATCAATTATTATCACTCTTTCACTCTGAGACTCATAAGGCAGTACTAGATTTAGTAATATTACCATGAATCTAGCCATTTATTTACCATCTTTTATTGGAAAAC